GACTGCCATCTGTCAGAAATGGTGTAGGGTCTCCCGCTTGGGCGGGGGATTGGACTAGATGACCTACAAGGTCCCTTTCAACTCTGTTAATTTAATCTAATAATTGTCTCTCTTAGCCACAGAAAATTTGGGCTCAATTATGGTCATAAGTCAAGGACTACCTGTGCTATTAAAATTCTCCTGTCCGTTTGTCTGTAACCTTCAACGAAATAGTTCTTGAACCAAGATAAAGACAAATTGGCTAAGGTACAGAATTCTGGGACCCAAGGCTCCTACGGGAATAAGAATTTGGGAGGTTTGGACTTCTTTAATGCCACTGGACTGCTGCTGCTTCAGATCCAGAGATGGGATTCAGCTGGTTCGGATGGGTTCATGTGAACCAGTAGTGGTAACCTGTGGGGGGGGGGCATTCCTCCCGCCCACCTGGGCGCAATCCCATCCTATATCACTATGTTTTTTAAGTTGCATGCATGTGCGGATGGTGCACGCAAGCGAATTGCCGTGTTTTATGACACTGCATCAGTGGTGGGTTACCCCCAGTTCAGACCGGTTCGCAAGAACCAGTAGTAAAATCAGCGGGAGGCTCCGCCCCCCTGACCCGGACGTCATCATAGGTGATCTGGGCATGTGCATCAGAGGTGGGTTTCAGCAGGTTCTGACCAGTTCTGGAGAACCGGTAATGGAACTTTTGAGTAGTTCGGAGAACCGGTAATAAAAATTCTGACTGGCCCCACCCCCATCTGTTCTCTGCCTCCCAAGTCCCAGCAGATTGGGAGGAAATGGGGATTTTACAGTATCCTTCCCCTGGAGTGGGGTGGGAATGGAGATTTTACAGTATCCTTCCACTGCCATGTCCACCAAGCCACGCCCACAGAACCGGTAGTAAAAAAATTTGGAACCCACCACTGAGGTGCGTGCACCCGGGCGCAATGCGAACCGGTAGTAAAGGTAAGTAGAACCCACCCTTGCGCTGCATGCATGCATGCATGGATGGCGCATGCGAGTGTGTGAATGTGCACGCACACATTTCCAGTGCTGGGCAAACCGGTAGCTACAGTATGTGAAGCCCACCTCTGTTCAGATCCACTGACATGCTGCCACAGTCAATGGTGATCATGTGATCCTCGTTTCCAAAGCTCCCTAACAGTTTCCCAGAAGTGAGTGGAGAACCCAGCAAGATCTGTAAAATCGATTATGGTTGATAATGCTCCCTGCTCCTTTCCCACTCATCAAACCCTTTGCTTATGCGAAGGCTTGCAGGGAGAAAGTCAATGGGGAAGGCTTGCAAGAAGGGCGCAGGGTTGCTTGGGTAAGAGGGAGGAAATGAGGAACAGGGAGGGAGAGAAGGAAAGAAAGGAGGAGGAGGAGGAGGAGGAGGAGGGATGGATGGAAGGGAAGAGAAGAGAAGAGGAAAGGAAGGGAAGAACAAGGAGGGAAGGAGAGAAGGACGCAAGCAAGGAAGGAAAGAGGAACAGAGAGGGAGGGAAGGAAGGAGGGAGGGAGGGAGAGGGGGGAACAAGGAGAGAGAAGAAGGGAGGGAGGGAGAGGAAGGGAGGGAGGGAAGGGAGGAGGAAAGAAAGAACAGAACAGGGAGGGAGGGGGAGAGAGAAGGGAGCAAGCAAGGAAGGAAAGAGGAATAGGTAGGGAGAGAGAGGGGGAACAAGGAGAGAGAGAAGAAGGGAGGGAGGGAGGGAGGGAGGGAATGGAGGAGGAAAGAAAGAAAAGAACAGGGAGGGATGGAGAGAAGGAAGCAAGTAAGGAAGGAAAGAGGAATAGAGAGGGAGGGAGAGGGGGGAACAAGGAGAGTGAGAAGAAGGGAGGAAGGGAGGGAGGGGAAGGGGAAGCAGTGAAGACTGCTTCTTATTAGGACAACCGTATGAGGTTGGTACTGTGAGATGAGACTAATAGATGATACAGGTGTTAGGGAACTGTAAAAGGGGAGTATTTGAGCTCATTGTAACAGAGATGAGAAGTGCAGGTTCTGTCTCTTTGTAAACCAAGTTCTAAAATCATGTTTCACCTGACTCTGGGCTTTATCCAAGTTTAGCATACGTGCAGATTGGAGGAGTTAGCCCTTCCAGGTGTCCAGCTGAGAAGCACAACTATCAATAGTAGTAACTCTATCATAAGATTACATTAACAGAATCTTGAAAGGCTAAAAGTATTTCTTCCCTCCCTTTGCTTTTACTCTCCAGAAAACCCAGGTGGTGGTGGGGGGTCCCTTCTAAAATGCTTCCCACATAGCCTCGGTTTCTGTGGGCTGAGTTATCTTTTGCTTCCATGGTTGTCCTTTGCAGCTCTTTCTTCTGTCTCCCAAGGCAGGGGTGGGCTGGTGGGGGTTCACAGGGGTTCGGGAGAACCTCTAGCTAAGATTCTGTGCAGTTTGGAGAACCCCCAAATCCCACTCCTGGCTGTCCCCGCCCCGCCCACCCCTCCCAGGAATCCCCACGCTGCCCATTTTGGATGAAGGTAAGTGCAGGGCACGTGCGGAGGCTCGGGGAGGGCAAAAAACGGGCCTACCGGAAGTTTGGGAAGGCCAGAAACAGTCCCATTTCTGGCCTCCAGAGAGCCTCCAGAGCCTGGGGAGGCTGTTTTCGCCCTCCCCAGAGTCTCAAAGAAAGCCTCAGGAGCCAGGGGAGGGCAAAAATGCCCCCCAGCTGTGGTGCAGGAGGCTGACTAGGCCACACCCACCATGGCCTCGCCCATCCAGCAACCAGGCAGAGAACCCCTTGCTAAAATTTTTGAAGCCCACCCCTGTCCCAAGGTTAGCCTCTACAGGAAACGAGCCCACCGTGAGCCTGGTCATCTGTTATTGTTATTGTTTGGTGGTACCTATATTTTCAGAATTAATTGGGCTGGGGATTCATTTCTTCCCATTTCTTTATGCCGCTACTTCAACCAGCAGAGTCATGATCTAGTGTTGATTGAGACGGAGTCAAATTTTAGCCTGAGAAGCACGTTCATAATTCCAGAAGGTACTCAGAATGAGATTCTCAGAAAATAAGACTGCCCAGCCACCAAGGAATGGACACCCTTGTTAGTGGGAAATTGTGTGCTATGCAGCAAAACACTTTTGATTTAGAAAAAAAGAAAAATCAAGCACCTCTCTGTTACTCATACAAGCTGAATATCTAATGATCACGTTAGAGGCTATTTGGGCTCCCTAAACAAGTTTTGAAGGCTTCCGAGAAGGTAATGACTGGAAAGAAATGCCAAGATATTCAAAAGCATTTCAGCTGTTCATTTTGTCATCTTCTCATTTTTTCCTACTACTTTCCCCTATTGGTATCTTACGATTTGTCACTTGTTGCTTGTATCTTACGACAATGATCGTATCTTAGATTGTGATCTATGACTGATCACTTTGTTGTTTGTATGTACACTGAGAGCTTATGTACCGGAGACAAATTTCTTGTGTGTCCAATTATACTTGGCCAATAAAATATTCTATTGTATTCTGTTCTGTTCTATTCCGTTTCGTTCCGTTCCGTTCCGTTCCGTTCCGTTCCGTTCCGTTCCATTCCATTCCATTCCATTCCACTCCATTCCACTCCACTCCACTCCACTTATTCTGTTCTGTTCTGTTCTGTTCTGTTCTGTTCTGTTCTGTTCTGTTCTGTTCCGTTCCGTTCCGTTCCGTTCCATTCCATTCCACTCCTCTCCACTCCACTCCTAACTCCACTCATTCTATTCTATTCTATTCTATTCTATTCTATTCTATTCTATTCTATTCTATTCTATTCTAGAATAGTATAGAATAGAATAGAATAGAATAGAATAGAATAGAATAGAATAGAATAGAATAGAATAGAATAGAATAGAATAGAATATTGGAATGAAGAATAGAGTAGAGTAGAGTAGAGTAGAGTAGAGTAGAGTAGAGTAGATAGAATAGAATAGAATAGAATAGAATAGAATAGAATAGAATAGAATAGAATAGAATAGAATAGAATAGAATAGAATAGAATAGAACCAACATCTCAACCAACAAATACTCTGTCTTACACATTGGCCAAAAAAAAAAAAAAAATCAGAACACCAAATACAAGCTGGGCGGATATGACCTCGTAGACGACCCTCACTCTGTCAAGGACCTTGGAGTACTCATCTCAAACGATCTAAGCGCCAGAGCTCATTGTAAGAGCATTGCCAAAAAGGCTTTAAGAGTTGTCAACCTAATCTTGCGAAGCTTCTTCTCCAGTAACATTGTACTGCAAACTAGGGCATACAAAACCTTTGCCAGACCAATTCTTGAATACAGCTCATCTGCTTGGAATCCACACTATATATTGGACATTAATACAATTGAGTGAGTCCAGAGGTATTTCACGAGAAGAGTCCTCCACTCCTCTACTCACAACAGAATCCCTTATGCCACCGGGCTTGAAATTTTGGGCTTGGACAATTTAGAACTATACTGTCTATGGTCTGACCCAAGCGTAGTACACAAAATTATCTGCTACAACGTCCTACCTGTCAATGACTACTTCAGCTTCAACCTCAATAATACATGAACAAACAATAGATACAAACTTAAGCTAAACCGCCCCAAACTCGATTGTAGAAAATACAACTTCAATAACAGAGTGGTCAATGCCTGGAATGCACTACCTGTCTCTGTGGTTTCTTCCCCAAACCCCCATAACTTTAACCTTAAACTGTCTAATGTCGACCTCACCCCATTCCTAAGAGGGGTGCGTGCATAAGTGCACCAACATGCATATTGTCCCTGTCCTACTGTCCCCATTTATTCGTACCCATTTACTATGTTCATATTTATGTTGATACTTATACCTGTTATCTTTTACACGTTTGACAAACTAACTAACTAACTAAAGTAAACCTTGAGGTGGCAACAGAGAGGCAGGAAGCATCGGAGACCAAGAGAGAGAAAGAGAGAGAGAGAGAGAGAGAGAAGGGCGAGGGAGGGAGAGAGGGAGATGGGAGTGGGAAAGGCACTGATCTGCCTGCAAGACTTCCTCTCATCTTCGCAGAGAAGAAGCATCAGAGGAAGAAAAGAAGGAGCAGTGACTCACAAAGGAGAGCCAACAGCATCCCTTCTGTGCCAGCCCAGAAAAACAAGGTAGGTGGAATCCTTTGACAGGGCTTTGATGAAGCTTGTTCTGCGCAAGTTCCAAGACAGATCATGGTTAAATCAGGGACTCAGGCTTGGAACATCAGGAATCGGGGTAGCAACTTTCCAAATCTCATGAGCTTATGTCTTGGGGGCAACTGTTACTGTGGGGTCTGGATGGCTGCTGTTAAGACTCCTTCTGATCAGTGGCTTCTAGAAAGTCTAGAACATCTACAATCTTTGTGCTCCTTAGCAGGATTTTAAAGATCATTCATTGTTCACAGAGAGGAAGATTTGTGTTTCGATTTGTGTGTATAAGAGGGTGAGTGGTTCGCTGTGATTGATGTAGGGCCGCCCTTGAAGCTGGCACCTTCAGTTGCCTGTCAGCTTCAACCAATGCAGATACGCAGAGACACATAACCCACCTCTGAAAAAGAGACACGGCATCTTTTAAATATGGAGCATTTGCCCTGGATGCCTTATTTTGTCCAGTTCCAAGCAGTTGGATTGCAGCCTTTTATTGTGATCCGATGTAGCAGAGACAGATACAGATTAACAGAGTTGGAAGGGACCTTGGAGGTCATCTAGTCCAACCCCCCACCCAAGCAGGAGACCCTACACCATTTCTGACAGACGGCTGTCCAGTCTCTTCTTGAAAGCCTCCAGTGATGAAGCTCCCACAACTTCCGAAGGCAACTTCTGTTCCATGGGTTGATTGTTCTCACTGTCAGAAAATTTCTCCTTATTTCCAGCTTGAATCTCTCCTTGTTCAGTTTCCATCCATTGTTCCTTGTCTACCTTTCAGGTGCTTTGGAAAATAGCTTGACCCCCTCCTCTCTGTGGCAGCCCCTCAAATATTGGAAGACTGCTATCATGTCTCCTCTGGTCCTTCTCTTCACTAGACTAGCCGTGCCCAGTTCCTGCAACCGTTCATTGATGTTTTAGCCTCCAATCCCCTAATCATCCTGGTTGCTCTTCTCTGCACTTTTTCTAGAGTCTCAACATCTTTTTAATAGTGTGGTGACCAAAACTGGGTGCAGTACTCTAGGTTTTATAGAGTGGTATTAGTACCTTAGTAGTAGCGTTTCAACCTAAGGCATGCGGTGGTTCAGTGGCTAAGACCCTAAGCTTGTCAATTGAAAGGTCGGCAGTTCAGCGGTTTGAATCCCGAGTGCTGCGTAATGGGGTGAGCTCCCATTCCTTGTCCCAGCTTCTGCCAACCTAGTAGTTTGAAAGCACATAAAAAATGCAAGTAGAAAAATAGGGACCACTTTTGGTGGGAAGGGAACAGCGTTCTGTGAGCCTTTGGCGTTGAGTCATGCCGGCCACATGACCACGGAGACGTCTTCGGACAGCGCTGGCTCTTCGGCTTTGAAACGGAGATCAACACTGCCCTCTAGAGTCGACTAGCACATATGTGTGAGGGGAATCTTTACCTTTACCTTAGTAGCGTTTCGAAGATGCCTTGCGCTTTAGCTGCTAGAATTCTTAGCAACACTAAGACTCTTCTCCAAGTCAAGAGCAGGGAACATGTGGATGAACAGATGTTGATTAATCATCATTGCCAGCAAAGCCGGAGAGGAGAGAGGAGACTGGGAATTTTAATTTGGCATAGTCCAACATCTCCTGTTTTCTTCTTATCCCTGATCTAGATTCTTTTATCCAAACCTAAGGTTGGCTGTTCACTTTTAAGAGTTTGGTGTTAAAATTTGTTCTAGCTTTTTCCAGTTTAATTCTATCTTTGGTAGAAATCTGCCATGGACATTTCAACACATGTGCAGGAAGAAGACCACATACCATGCTGGCTGGGGAATTCTAGGAGTTGAAGTCCATTTCTTTGAGGTATTGTATGTACTTGTGGATAAGTGAGAGGTTTGGGTCCCAAAAATGCCCCCAAAGTTGGCTTATCTGTGGACCAGGATTCACATTTTTTAAAGCCCATCATGGTCCAACTGCATACTACTGCAATGCTCTCTACATGAGGCTCCCCTTGAGGAGCACTCGGAAGCTCCAGCTGGTCCAGAACGCGGCCGCGCAGATAATTATGGGGGCGACATGGCGCTCCCATGTGACACCTTGCCTGTGCGAGCTGCACTGGCTTCCGGTGGTCTTCCGGATGTGCTTCAAGGTATTGGTTCTCACCTTTAAAGTGCTCCATGGCTTAGGGCCCGGTTATTTGCGAAACCACCTTCTGCCACCAATAACCTCCCACCGGCCAACTCGGTCCCACAGAGAGGGCCTCCTTAGGGTGCCGTCGGTCAAGCAATGCCGACTGACGACCCCCAGGGGGAGAGCCTTCTCTGTGGGGGCACCCACCCTCTGGAACGAGCTACCCCCAGGAATACGACTAATCCCGGACCTCCGGACCTTCTGTCGAGCTTTGAAGACCTTCCTATTTCAGCAAACTGGGCTGGCTTAAAATTTTAATGGGTTATTTTAAGGGTAATGGGTTTTAATGTTTTGGGAAGCCAATTCGATTTAATTCTGCTTTTAAATTATTTTAAATTTTGTATTATATGTATTTTAATTTTGGCTGTGCACCGCCCTGAGCCCTTCGGGAGAAGGGGGCTATACAAATTTAAATAATAAATAAATAAATACACAGCAGCCCAATACCTGCTGTATTTAGAAAGACACCTATAGTGTATTTCGTTGTATTCCAGATCAGTTGTTCTGCCACCCTCTCTCTCTAGGAATAGAATAGAATAGAATAGAATAGAATAGAATAGAATAGAATAGAATTCTTTATTGGCCAAGTGTGATTGGACACACAAACCTTTCTCCTGGGAGTACTAAAGAGAAAAAAAGAGATACTTAATCATACATATCATTACGGCAGCTAGATTAACATACGCACAACACTGGAAAGAAAAGGGAACACCACCGGAAGAACATGTAATTCGGAAAATCCTAGAATGTGCTGAGATGAGCAAACTAACATATGAGATTAACGAGAAAGAGGATTCGGAATACTATACAGTGTGGGGACTTTGTTATAAATGGATGGAAGATCGAATAAGGAAGGGATAAGAGATAGTGTAAATACTAAAATAAGTGGGAGGCTTATTAATAAAATAATTAAATAATTAAATTAGGAGACACTATAATAAAAGAATGTATATAACCTGTATATATATTATCACTGTCAAACCGATATCTTTTGTATTGTATTATAATGTAATCTAATAAAAATCTAAAAAAAAATGGAATGGAATGGAATGGAATAGAATAGAATAGAATAAGTAGGAAATTCTATTCTATTCTATTCTATTCTATTCTATTCTATTCTATTCTATTCTATTCTATTCTATTCTATTCTATTCTATTCTATTCCATTCCATTCCATTCCATTCCATTCCATTCCATTCCATTCCATTTCTATTCTATTCTATTCTATTCTATTCTATTCTATTCCATTCCATTCCATTCCATTCCATTCCATTCCATTCCATTCCATTCTTTCCTAATTCTATTCTATTCTATTCTATTCTACCCTACTCTACTCTACTCTACTCTACTCTACTCTACTCTACTCTACTCTACTCTACTCTACTCTACTCTACTCTACTTTACTCTACTCTACTCTACTCTTATAAATTTCTGGTATTATACCTAACAAAAATATTTTAAGGTTATCTCATGAGCATTTATGGGTTCTTCAACCTCCCTCTTGTTCTTCTCCATCTCTTTGCCCCCAGATTGTTTGGGGGGGGAGGGAAACATGTCTGAACAAGAAGAACTTGCTGATTTGGCGGGACTTTGGAATTCTTCGGAGCTCAACCAGTTCAGCCCCACCAAGATCGCCATTCCAGTGGTCTTCTCCATCATTTTTCTGTTGGGCACCGTTGGCAACAGTCTGGTTTTGGCTGTGCTCTTGCAGAACAGCCAGAGGGCCTGCAGCCAGACCAACCTCTTCATCTTCAACCTGAGCTTGGCCGACTTCTTCTTCATCGTCTTCTGCGTGCCCTTCCAGGCTACCATCTATTCCACGGAAGGCTGGGTCTTTGGCGCTTTCATGTGCAAAGCTGTCCATTTCTTCATCTACCTCACTATGTATGCCAGCAGTTTCACCTTGGCGGCTGTCTCGGTAGACAGGTAAATGGGATCTTCTTCTTCTCTATGACCCAGATTTGGTTCCCGGCACTACTGTGAGGACCCATGGGGCTGGTTGGTGGCAGTGTGAGTGTTCTGTCCCCCCACCTCACATAGGCAGACACACGAGCAAAAGATGTCTACCAATAATTTATTTTTACAAGCCGACCTGAATCCCTTTGGCAGATAAAAGTTCTGGCAGCTACTTTCCGAATGCCTGCCAAGTTTCTTATCACCTCTAGAAACAGGAGTCAGCGTATCTGCAGTCCTTTGCTGGAGCAACCAAGAGTTCACAAGACACAACAGAGTAGTCAGAAGTCATTCACAAAGTCCAAGCCTTAATTCCAAAAAATATCCCATCCGAAGCTCACGATATGCAGTTTTTGTCCATCACAGAGCCTGCAGAGCAACCCCACCCACTTTTATCCCCTGTGGGGCATGGCTCAGTGACTCAGCAATCTCTGGCCCTTCCACACCTCTTCCTTTGCTGCGCACGCCTCTCCCTCCGACGCTGCCTGGGATCAATCCAAGATTGATCTTCATCACTCCGTATTAGTGGGTGCTCCGACATGCCTTCCTCCTGGCCTTCAGCTGGAACCTGAGGCGTTGCCAGAAAGGAGGGTGCTGGAGAGGGAGGCCTTGTCAGTTCCTCCCCCTCACTTTCAGAGTCATCTTCCTCCGTGAGGACAGGTTCGGGAACCGGAGTCACAACAGTGAGCTCTGCCATTGAGGTTTCCACACCGTAGTTCGGAGATGTCCAACCTTGGCAACTTTTAAGACTTTGTGGACTCCAATGCCCAGACTTCATAGCTGGCTAGGGAATTCTGGGAGTTGAAATCCACAAGTCGTAAGTTGCCAAGGCTGGACACCCCTGCCATAGTTTAGGGCTTAGCATATCTGAGGATCTGGAAAAGTGGGTATGGAACCAGTGGTGAAATTCAATTTTTTTTTACTACCGGTTCTGTGGGCGTGGCTTGGTAGGCATGGCAGGGGGAGGATACTGCAAAATCCCCATTCCCACCCCACTCCAGGAGAAGGATACTGCAAAATCCCCATTCCCTCCCCATTCCTGGGGGAAGGATATTGCAAAATGTCCATTCCCACCCCACTCTGGGGCCAGCCAGAGGTGGTATTTGCCGGTTCTCCAAACTGCTCAAAATTTCCGCTACCGGTTCTCCAGAATCTGTCAGAACCTGCTGGATTTCACCCCTGTACGGAACCCGTAAAGTGGTTGTATTGCTAGCGAAAATGAGTGTACTGTCCCGCAGATCCCATTTTGAACTAGTTTTTATTGTTCCTTAAACTTCTTAAATGATTTTTGATGCTGTGATTTTGTTTATTTTGTGGCATTGTGTTTTTTTTTAAAAAAAACTTTGTACAGGTAGTCCTTGAGTTACGACTACAATTGAGCCCAAAATTTATGTTGCTAGAATAGAACTGAAAGGAACCTTAGAAGTCTTTTAGTCCAGCTCCCTGCTCAAGCAGGAGCCCCGATACCATTTTGGTCAAGTGGCTGTCCAATCTCTTCTTTAAAACCTCCAGTGATGGAGTGCCCATGATTTCTGAAGGCAAGCTGTTCCATTGGTTAATTGTCCTGATTATTAGGAAGTTTCTCTGTAATTCCAGGTTGCTTCTCTCCTTGATTAGTTTCCACCCATTACTTCTTGTCCTGCCCTCAGGTGCTTTGGAGAATAGTTTGACTCCCTCTTCTTTGGGGCAGCCCCTCAAATACTGGAACACTGCTATCATGTCACTCCCTAGTCCTTCTTTTCTCTAGACCAGGGGTCAGCAACCTGCGGCTCTGGAGCCGCATGTGGCTCTTTCAGCCCTCTGCTGCGGCTCACTGTTACTCAAAATATGCATCACAACCGCCAATGTGCGATACCCACTGGCATGAGATTTAGTGAGTTTTTCAACCCCCGTTAGGCCAACCATAGATAAATCCAAGAAAAGAAAAGTTTCAGAAGAAAACAGAACGTTTAATTCAACTACATATGCTAGTTTTGTGGCCGCTCAAGAAATAGTCAGGCACGAGAAGGGTTTTGTGGCTCCTGGTGTTTTCTTTTCTGTGGGAAACGGGTCCAAATGGCTCTTTGAGTGTTTAAGGTTGCAGACCCCTGCTCTAGACTGACAATACCCAGTTCCTGCAACCATTCTTCATAGTTTTTAATCTACAGGCCTTCAATCCTCTTAGTTGCTCTTCTCTGCACTTTTTCCAAAGCGCATATAAGATAACATGACTATGTTTAGCAATTCCTAATGCAGTTGGCTTTTTGATAGGTATTTGGCCATTCGCTACCCGTTACACTCCCGGGAATTACGTACTGCCTACAGTGCGGTGGTGACCACGGTGATAATCTGGGGCCTCTCCATGATCTTCTCAGGGCCCTACCTGAGCTGCTACGACTTGGTTCAATGGGAGGAGAGCTACATCTGCGTGCCAGGCTGGGAAGGATGGAAACGCAAGCTCTTGGAGACCAGCACTTTCATCTTTGGCTACATCATCCCAGCTCTTATTGTCAGTCTCTCCTACAGCAGGACAATTAAACATCTCTGGACATCAGTGGATCCTTTAACGGACATGTCGGAGTCCAAGAAGTCTAAGTGGAAAGTGACTAAAATGATCATCATTGTGACCATCCTCTTCTGCTTCTGTTGGTTGCCCTACCATGTGATTGTCCTCCACTACCTCTACGGGGACTTCCCATTCAACCAAACGACCTATGTTTGGCGCCTGCTCTCTCACTGCATGGCATACGCCAACTCTTGCCTCAACCCCATTGTCTATGCCTTGGTCTCCAAGCACTTCCGCAAAGGGTTCAAGAAGGTCTTTAGATGTCTGCTGAGGAGGAAACCATGGAACAAATTCCGAGCAGTCCATAGCACTCTTACCGAACCTGGTATTGAAGTGGTCTCCACAGACAGGTCCTGAATGAATGAGGATAATGGACCACTGAATAGGTGTCAAGGTCCATCATGGTCCCATCGTCCCCTGCATTTCATAAGCCAAACTGGAAAGGGACTTCAGCAAAGGGGTGCCGAATGCTTCCGATAAGGCCATCATGAATGGTTTATTTTTGCTTTTTTCAGTCTACATCGCAACCATGCCCAGCCTTCATAACCAGAGTATCTTTTCTTCTACAGAGGACACAGAATTTACTGTATCTTTGGGAATTGTGGGAAAAGTCTCAGTAAATTATGGAAAAATCTCTATCCTTGATTAAGAGATGCACAATGCTTCGCAGAGGAGTCCTGCCCTTACTGATCTCATTGCCTATTTCTTACCAAAAACATATCCTGTGTTCATCCACAATGATGTCAAAATAATGACATCCGCATTATTGTACAAGATGTAATTTATGATGTGAATCACGTCATTCTCATGATAGTACCAGAGGTGGGTTTCAGCAGGTTCTGACCAGTTCTGGAGAACCGGTAGCAGAAATTTTGAGTAGTTCAGAGAACCGGTAAATACCAGTTCTCTGGCCCCACCCCCATCAATTCTCTACCTCCTGAGTCCCAGCTGATCAGGAGGAAATGGGGATTTTGCAGTATCCTTCCCCTGGAGTGGGGAGGGAATGGAGATTTTACAGGATCCTTTCTCTGAAGTGGGGTGGGAATGGAGATTTTATAGGATCCTTCCCCTGAAGTGGGGAGGGAATGGAGATTTTACATTATCCTTCCCCTGCCACGCCCACCAAGCCACACCCACAGAACCGGTAGTAAAATAATTTGAAACCCACCACTGGACAGTACCATTAAGTGTGTATCACCATGCAAAACCATGACTATCCATGGTCCAATGGTGGCTTTAGTGCATCAGCAACAAGCTGGAAAACAATGGGGGAACTGGGTGATTTCCACCGACAGTGGCAAAATGAGACACGTTGATTTATTCAGTCATTCCATTTCTATAGCTACCAATCTCAGACAAGTGACTGTTGTTGACTCAACTAGGGTGGAGAATCAAATGCACTGCGCATTTCCCATCAGCCCTGATCATCCTGGCTAATGGAGGTTGGTCAGCAACAATTAGAAAGTCATGTATTGCCCAGTGGTGGAATTCAAATAATTGAACAACTGGTTCTCTGCCCTAATGATTTCTTCCAACCAGTTCACCAAACCAGTTCTTTCATTCAGTTCACCAAACTGCTCAGAAAGTGAACAACCGGTTCTCCCGAAGTGGTGCGAACTGGCTGAATCCCACCACTGGTTTTGCCCACCTCTGTGCTTACCGCTTTGATGCAAACATCCTTTGTCCATTTGTCTAGCCATTTGTCTAGAATGGTACAGAGCAGTGTTGGTGAATCTTTTTGACACTGAGTGCTGAAATGGGAGTGGGTACGTGCATGTGCAGGAGTGCCAGAAACTGGGAAAAGCAGTTCCCCAGCACGCATGCAGTTTTCCGCTTTCTGGTGCACAGGTAATCACGAAGATCAGGTAGCCAGTGTGCATGTACACGCCAGAAACCGGAAGCTCAGTTTCCCAGCGCACACATGTGCACCACGGAGCTGCTCTTTCGGTTTCTGGCGTGCCTGTGTGTACAAAGACCAGCTGGCCGGTGTGCATGTGTGCACCCAGGCTCCCGGTTTGGACCGGTTCAGCCGAACTAGTAGCGATGGCGGCCGATGGTTTGGAGAACTAGTAATGATGGCAGTGCGAGGCTCCACCCACCTGCCCGGTCGTCATTACTTCCTGGTTTTAATCAGGAAGTAACCTGTTTTTTACCCTCTGTGCATGCACAGAAGAGTTTGCACATGCGCAGAGGGTCCGTGCGCACATGTGACGCATGCACACACTTCCAAACTGGTTGGGAAGTTAAGTAGATTTCACCCCTGGGCACACCTGAGCCCAGAAGGGCAACGGGCGACAGCTGGCGTGCCCAGAGAGATGGCTCTGCATGACACTTCTGGCACATGTGCCATAGGTTCGCCATCACGGGTATAGAGTCTCTTGCTTGAGCTGGGGGTTTGACTAGAAGACCTCCAAGGTCCCTCCCAACTCTAGGCTAAAACACAAGCTGGTGAATACATCAAGAAGCTTCTCTAGAATTGGATATCTGGAATTATCCACGTTCCTCAACGTGGACAGCTTCTAAGGCCATCCAGCAGGATGTGCCTTTTGATCTCCAGGCCCGACGTGAGCTTCGGGTGCCATGACGTATCAAATTACCACGAAGTGGTATGTTTCGGTGTTATACTTTTACTAAAGTGCTCCAGAGAACTGAGTTAGAAAGTGGGCAGGTTAGAGGAAGGACTTCTCGTTCAATGCTAGCACTGCAAGAGAACTTCCTTCCTTGAGAATGGAGCAACGTTTACTCTTTGGGATGGCCAATGGAGCAGGAGAAATATGGTGGTGGTGGATGACATCACTGCCGCCAGCCAATAGATGCCCACGACAGTCCTAAAGCGGCTTTAGAAACAAAATTTCAGAGGCCATTGTCAGGCGCAAGTAATCAGGAACTAAGTTCAGAGGTGGTTTTTCTACCCAAGAGTCTGACTTACTAAGAGTCAAGGCAAATTGGTGCTAAATAAAAATCAACGGAATTCATGGGGGACTGGACTTCGATCTCTTGTGTCTATGTAAGGATTCCAAACTAATAACATTTTTGACCCTGCCTTTGAGCACCATCTGGTCATCTCCTACAGCAACTGAATGCACTAATACATTGCAGCAAGGGATTAAACTGTTGGTGTATTCCTGTTCTCTCTGGACACCAGTCAGATGTTACCAGAGACGTATCATTTCAGTGGTAGGGTGCCCCCTCTCCCCATGACAACAGCTGTAGGCAAGATCTATGGAGATTCTCAGGCATCCAGGTCATAGTTGTCCCAAAAATGCTTTTTTTCAAGAGGCAACTGGACTTTCTGGGTTTTTTTTCTTTGAAGACGTTTTGCTTCTTCAGCTTCTTCAGCTCTGACTGGATGGTGGGGAATGGAAGGATTTATATCAATGGTGAAATCCAATTTTTTTTTTTACTACCGGTTCTGTGGGGGTGGCTTGGTGGGCGTTGTGTGGCTTGGTGGACGTGGCAGGGGAAGGATACTGCAAAATCTCCATTCCCACCCCACTCTAGGGGAAGGATACTGAAAAATCCCCATTCCCTCCCTACTCCTGGGGGAAGGATATTGCAAAATCTCCATTCCCACCCCACTCTGGGGCCAGCCAGAGGTGGTATTTGCTGGTTCTCCGAACTACTCAAAATTTCCGCTACCGGTTCTCCAGAACCTGTCAGAACCTGCTGGATTTCACCCCTGATTTATACTCCTTGCAGGCAGCTGGTCATTTGCATTATTCCTCCAAGTGGCCTCAATGACCCTCTAAAAAGCATGCAACTGACCAGCTGTCTTCAAGGAGTATAAATCCTTCCATCCCCCACCATCCAGTTAGAGCTGAAGAAGCTTCTTGGATGAGAAGCGAAACTTCTTCAAAGAAAAACCAGAAAGTCCAGTTGCCTCTTGAAAAAAAAGGCATTTTTGGGACAGCTGTAGACAAGGTGTCATCTGCCCTTCCTATCCCTCTGGGCCAGGATGAAATCCAGCAAGTTCTGACAGCTTCTGGAGAACCGGTAGTGGAACTTTTGAGTAGTTTGGAGAACCGACAAGTACCACCTCTGGCTGGCCCCAGAGTGGGGTGGGAATGGAGATTTTACAGTATCCTTCCCCCTGGAGTGCGGTGGGAATGGAAATTTTGCAGTATCCTTCCCCTGCCATGCCCACCAAGCCACACCATGCCCACCAAGCCACGTCCACAGAACCGGTAGTAAAAAAAATTGGATTTCACCACTGCTCTGGGCATCCTGGCTGGAACACAGAGCAAAGGTCTTCTTTGGACCATCATCTCCAGGCCCATGAACTCTACCTCGCCCAGCCCTTTCTCAACCTCGATGACTTTAAGTTGTGTAAGATTTCACCTCCCAGAATTCCCTGGCCAACGTGCTCCTTTTTTAAAAATCTTGCCTATAAGATCTTCGCTCCTTCTTCTGCTAATCAATGAGGAACACTGCTCCAGCTAAGAGAGAAGACAAACTCGCATCGATGGGTTAGTTGCAGTTAGTATGATTAGTAGTAAACATAGGTAGTCCTCGACTTACAACATTTAGGGACCGTTCAAAGTTACAACGACACTGAAAAATGGGATTGATGACCGTTTTTCATAGTTACAACCTCTGCAACATCCCCATGGTCACGTGATCAAAATTTGGTTCATATTTATGATCTTTGTGGTATCCCAGGGTTGCGTGATCCCCCTTTGCAACCTTCTACGAGCAAAGTCAACATTCATTTAATGACCAAGTTACTAACTTATCAACTGCAGGGATGCTCTTAAAAAACTGTGGCAAGAAAAGTCGTAAAATGAGGCAGAAGTCACTGAACAAATGTCTCACTTAACAGCAGAAATGATGTGGGGGCTCGATTGCAGTCATAAGTCAAGGACCGCCTGTGGTATTTATTCAGGGGTGGGCTGCTGGGGGTTCGCAGGGGTTCGGGAGAACCTCTAGCTAAGATTCTGTGCAGTTTGGAAAACCCCCAAATCCCACTCCTGGCTGGCCCTGCCCACCCCACCCTGCCCCTCCCAGGAGTCCCCACATGGCCCGTGCAGGGCACACACAGAAGCTCAGGAAGGGTGAAAAACAGGCCTACCGGAAGTTCGGGAAGGTCGGAAACGGGCCTGTTTCCAGCCTCCAGAGGGCCTCCGGACCCTGGGGAGGCCGTTTTCGTCCTCTCGGAGGCTCAAAAAAAGCCTCCAGAGCCCAGGGAGTGCAAAAATATACCTCCCCATGTGGTGCAGGAGGCTGACTAGGCCAAGGTCGGCAACCTTATACACTCAAAGAGCCACAAAGGTCCTAACCGGAAGCCCCCCATTCAATTCTGAAGCCGACCGGAAGCAGCAGAGGGATGAAAGAGCCACATGCGGCTCCAGAGCAACGGGTTGCTGAACCCTGGACTAGGCCACGGCCACCACGGCCCTGCCCATCCAGCAACCAGGCAGAGAACACCTTGCTAAAATTTTTGAAGCCCACCCCGTATTTATTCCTTTGGCTATGGGAGTCCCTGAACATCGCTGTATGGGGAACGAGCTGGCACGTACATGCACACCGTAAAAAAATGCTTCTGGCCGCGATTGCTTTAAAGACACA